TGCTTGCGAGCTTCTTAGGCTTCCTCCTGTGCAAGCTAGTCTTGCGAACGTTAGGTTAAGGCATTAGGCTTCTCGCTATGCTTACCTAGTTAGTACGTAATCGTAAACTGGAATTAGGAGAGGTATTTGGACTATCGAGCCTGACGGTGGCTTAGTTGCTTCGTAGTTGCGAAGTACTATAGGTTCTTATAATTGCTAAGTACAGCAATTAGGAAGGACGCGCCCTCTAGCTTAGGTCTCTACTGTTTAAAGCAACAGACGATAGCGAGTAGTTCCTTATCGTAGATTTCGTAGTTGTTTTCTGCAGGGTTTATCCTCTTTAAGTAGTAGGCTATAGGGCGAAGCGTACTGTTGGGTTCTGTCTGGGAGAGGACACCTGCCGTGACGTAGTCGGAAGCGTCTGCTTCTACGATGATTAGGAGGTTAGGATTAAAGTGTTGCAGTATTAGTGCAGTAGTGAAGGCGCGTTTTAAGGCATTAAAGGCCTTCTAGCAGTCGTTGTTAAAGAGAAACTTAGCGTCCTTCTTAGTTAATGCTATAAGCGGAGCGGCTAGGTAGGAGAAGCTATCTATAAACTGTTGATAGAAGTTCGCAAATCCTAGAAAGGCTCTAACGTCCTTGACGTTGTTTGGGTATTCCTAATCTACGATAGCTTGAACCTTCTTTGGGTCTATTCGTATTCTATCTACTCTAACTACGTAGCTAAGGTAAGTGACTTCAGTTTGGTGGAACTCGCACTTGTCTACGTCTAGTTGGAGCCTAGCTTCCTTAAGAGCGTTTAGAACAGATCTAACGTGCTCCTTGTGTTTGTGGAGGGTCTCGCTATAGATTAGGATATCGTCGAGGTAAGCGGTGCAGAATATGTCTAAGAACGGGCGTAGCACGTCGTTTACGAAGTGCTGGAACGTACTTAGCGCGTTGGCTAGTCTAAAGGGCATTACGAGATATTTAAATAGCCTATATTGGGTACGGAAGGCTGTTAGCTATTCGTCTCCTTTAGCGATGCGGAGTTGGTTGAAGGCAGCGATAATGTCAAGCTTTGTGTAGTACTTAGCCTTGCTTAGTCGGCTTAAGGTCTCTTGGATTAGCGGGATTAGGTAACGGTTCTTAACAGTAACTGCGTTTAAGGCACGGTAGTTGACGCAGAAGCGTAATCCGCCTCTAGGTTTCTTAACAAAGATAATAGGAGACGCGACTAGAGAGGAGCTTGCTTAGATAAACCCCTTCGACAGGTAGTCTTTAAGGTACTTGCGCAGTACCTTTAGCTCGTCTTAGGACATGCCGTATAACGGGCCGAACCTGTGTTGCTTGCCTTTTATTAGTTTGATCTTGTGGTCGTATGGTCGTCGTACGGGCAGTTTGTCGGAGTTCTCTCGCGAGAAGACGTCTATTAGGTTATAGTACTTGGGAGGGACTTTTGTAAGTAGATCGGTGTGCTTCTTTACAGCTAGTGCCTTATTAATGTTAGCAATACTAACAGTACAGATTTTGTAGCCTCTTCTACGCGCTAGGCTTATAAATAGGGCCGCGCCTATGTAATAGATATTAAGTTTCGGCTGTAACTTTAACGAGTCGTCCTAGTCGTTAGTTAACAGAGTGCAGTTAGAGTTGGAGTCGTAGGTGGGTTTGTGTATAGGTTCGTTTAATTGGCGCTTCATCTTAGGTAGCTAATAATCGTGTCGTTGTCGTAGTACGTGTTTGAGTTTTAGGGTTTAGGAGTGAGTTCTATTAGAGCTGTTGTTGCCCTACTGTCCTTGGGGAGTAGGAGCAGAGGTACGGCTAACTCTAAGGCATCGTTTAGTGCATCTTCGGGCAGTAAAAAGCAGCTTCTTATTAGCATAGTCTAAGTTTACTTAATACTTGTTTATCTATAGTTGGCTAAGTATTATCTCGTGGCGGCCAGTGTTAGTGACGTAGAGTCGTATAGACTCTACGTAGTTGTCGTGTTGCAGTTTTAGGGTGACGGTGTGAGATACTTCTCTACTGTTAAGTACAGTTCTAGTAAATCTAGTGGGGTAAATAACGTAGGGCAGCGGGTTTTGACGAAGGTTTAGGTTGCGCGCGAGGTCTCTGTGAATGTATCTAACACTAGTAGCTCTAGTATTAACTAAGGCCTTAAGGTTGCTTCTAGTGTTGCCTTGTTGGACTGTGCAGGGTATCACGATACAGCGTTTCCAGGTGTCAGTTCGAGATTCAGACTAGAGTTCAGCAGAGATTTGGTGTATGCGCGGTCCTAGGGAGCGACTTATCCTTGGGACGGGGCTTTTCCCTTTCGGGACTGGTTGCGAGAGCGTTGTCCTCGAGATCTTGAGGATCGAGAGGATCTTGAAGTATCAGATCCTGCGGAGTAGGTACAGGTCTGGTTATTAGCGCTGTGCGATCGGATATGCTGAGCGGGCAGAGGGACGCTGCAGTTGCTAGATATATGACCCTTCTGGTTACATTTAAAGCAGCGGCCTTCCTTGATTCTCTTCTGGCGTTCAGCAGAGCTAGCGGGAGCGTAGTTTAACACGTCTATATCTATTGCATTAGGATGGGCTGCAGGGAGACGGCGTGGGCGGTCTGGTAGGAAGCGGAGGTTGTTGTCGTACGTGGATATAAGGTTAGCGTAGTCGTTGAGGTCGCTAGGCAAGGCCTCTCCAACCATTGCACGCTGTAGTTTATGGGACAAGGAGTTTTGGAGGGAAGCGATGAGACTAATCTCATTTAATCTAGTATTAGCGGCTAGTCGTCGGAACTCGGCGAAGTGGGAAGTAAAGCTGCGCTTCCCTTGACGTAATCCGCTTAGTCGGCTAAGTGCTGTTAGCTCTTTGTTCGGGTCTCCGTAGGTGGCTTCAAGGAAGGTAATAAGCTGGTCTACAGTATGGACGTCCTTGTCTATAAGCGGGTCAATAAGGGCTACAGCGTCCTTCTCTAGTCGAGAGTGGGCATATAGCAGGCGGGATCTCTCGTTCGGGTATCGGTCAGCGTTACCCTCGAGCTTGTACCTTAGCTTGCGGACGAAGGCGGGGAGGTCCTTTCGTCGGCCATTGAACAAAGGCGGGTCAGGCAGGCGGTCGGTTCGGGGCAGGTCCTTGAGGCTCGCAGTTGGCGGCGTCACAGGCTTCAAGCCACTTCCAGATGGCTCCTCGAAACGAACTTGCCTAGTCTTAATAGTCTCTATCTCTTGACGGAGCTCTAATATCTGTTGCGCGTGTCGATTCTCTTGCTCGGCTAGGTTAGCAAGGAGTGCTTCGTTGCTAGCCTTCAACGCAGCCGAGTCCGCTTGAATTGCGTTTAGCTGACGCAAGATTAGCTGCAACGCGTCAGGTTGTTCGTGGGTAGTCATAGTAGGTTGACGCAACGTAATGTCACGAGATGCTACGAGCACGTGTTTAAGAGCTTACTAGAAGCGTTAATTGTGGCTACGTACGATATCTGGTGTAATACAAGACGTTGCGTAAGGAAACAGAATCAGCATGTACAGGCGGTGAGAAGTTATCGATGGGGGCCGTGCGCATGGCGCTAGGCCTGGCCGGCCAATCAGCAGAATTCGGGTGCTTGGCGGAGCACTCGGATTCTGTAGCGCGTTCAGTGTCAAGGGAACCACGGTGGTTACCGTGACACTGTTAATGCGAGCGCCTATTTAGCGAGCTTAGCGACCTATTAGAGCCCTGCAGGCGGAAGATCGGATCTTAACTGCTAGCGGCTATCTAATGTACCTAGAGTTAGAGAAAAGCAGGTTTTAAGCCTCCTTATAGCTAGGAGGATAGCCTTACTAATTAGGAGGTAATTAGAATCTACGATATATGCGAGTAGGAGAATGATAACTAGAGGCAGCCATATAAGATCGCCCTAGATTGCATATTAAACATGATTAAGAGCATTAAAACTTTAATTAATTATGACTCTAAAACAGCTTTAATTAAATCAATTTTAATCGCGACCTTATAAAACTTTAATCAAGCTCAATCGGCGGCCTCAAATTGATTGACTTGATTGTTGGCGTCTCTGCTGCTATCGCTGTTTGTTAGCGCTTCTTGACAAGCGGCTTTGCAGAGTTTTTGCATCTTGTGCTCGTGCTCTAGGGCTGCAAGATCTGCTCGTAGAGCATTAATCTTGTGCTGTACTGGACTCATGCTCTCATCCGTATCGCGCTTTCGCTTCCGTTACTGCTCATTCTCGCAAGCGGCTGATGTTTCGGCTTGTAGGACTGCGTCCTCTTGAGAGACCTCACGTGTTTGTGCAGTTCCGTCAGTCAACCACGCATCACTCTTAGGCGGCAGAAACCCTGGTGGCTGCATCAGAGCTTCCGGCGAGGTTTGACTTGCGTCAGAGCCTAGATTGACTTGGACCGTGCTTTTTTTGGCGATATCTAGGAATTGATGCCACACCTTGCTAATCTGAAGGTACTGCTCTATTAGGTCAGGCTGCAGCTTAGCTACTGCAATCTGGCGATAGATTTGAAGATGAAGCAGTATCGGACATTCTGGTGTGGATTGCTGCAGGATCTTCGAGCAGGCTGCCGAACTGAAACATGACACAGGCGTGTTGTACGCAGTGAACAAGTGTGGATTGGTAGAAGCAATTGCGTTGACGAGCTTTAATTGCCAGCTGAGAAAATCGCTGAATGACCTGATGTATGCAAGGTAAAGAAAGAAGCACGTCTCCACAGTTGGACAAGGTACTCGAACGATGATAAAGGAATTGTTCGAGTTCTGACTGGCTTTGTTCAATGAAAGGGCCAGCAGGACCCGAGCTTGGCAAATGAAGATATTCCGTTGCACGACCGCTGTGTCCGCCCAGCGGAAAACGTAAAGTTCTTCTCCTCTTGCAGGCATCCCACTATTCAGGTAGATTTGCGAAACAGGAGGGCCTTGTTGGCAGATCATGTAAGTTACTCGCAATCTCTGAGCCATTCCATTTTTCGTGTAATCCAGCTAGTCATCTACGGCTACCGAACGGCTTTGCTCGCTTAGCAGGCGTTCCTCTTCTTCCGTCTCCATAACCCTAACCCTTTCTCATCCTTGTATATCTGCTACTACTGCACTTGTAGCTACGGCTAGTTCCTCTTTCCTTGGTCCAATTAAACGTGATACGCTCTGATTCTGATGCAAGTAACATGGGTCGCTGCTCAGCCTGCACTTGCTTCGTCGCAGCGGTCTCCTTTCAAGCGGTCTTGCCTCTGCTATTTCTTGGTCTCTGCTACCCAGCACGACGGGTTCCTCGTCTGGCACTCCGACATCTGCTGCGTGACGTGCCGGCTTGGTTGTTGGCGTCATCACCTTTTGTATCCGTTGATCTAACGTGCCCGTATTTAGTTCTTTGTCTATAGGTCTCTCCTTAGTGATCTCCAGAAATCGATGCCAGATGAAGCTGTTTTCGAAGTAGCGGTCGATTAGCTCTGGCTGCAGTCTAGCTGGATAACCTCTTTCGAGAGCGTAAGCAGTTGCATGAACAGAAGGGGGGTGGCCCGTCTGAAAGGCCAATAGATGAAGGAAGTCATTCCGGTCCTTTGGGATGTTCGGGTCGAATGGCTCCAGCAATGTCGGAGTGTGCTTCTTGCTCATGGCAACAGCGACGTGCCGATAAATGCTTAGCTGAAGTCGAATAGGACAGTCTGGCGTAGCCTGCTCTAAGCTCTTCGAGCAGTCAGTGGCACTAAAGCAACCTGTGGGATGACAGCTCAAGCCAAACAGCTGCAGATTCGTCTTTGTTTCCGCATCGACGAGCTTCAATTGCCGGAGGAGGAAGTCGGTGAAAGGCCTTATATAGGCAAGGTATAGGAACAGAGCTCGCTCTACTGTGGGACAAGGTACCCAAACGATGTAGAACGAGTGATTTACTGTCGTGGACACTTTGTTGTAAGCGAAAAGTAGCATGATGCGTCCCTTATGTATCACGATGTTGCGTTGTACAGCAACAGTATTCGCCCAGCGTATAATGCGGAGCTCCTCGCCCCTGGCGGGCATGCCATTAGTCATGGAGGTTCCCGCAAAAAGGAGTCGAGTAAGATCATCACATCTCTGCAGATACGCCAGCGCTCGCTTGCATCCAGCGCCCTGCAGTGCTAGCCTCCCTTCTCGAGGAGAGAACGCTCGACGGTGAAGATGCTTAAAGCTCATCTGTAGATTGTTCTGAGGCTCCGCTAGAAATGAATAGCCCCATCGATAACTTATGAGTTCGTCTTTGATTCCACGCAAATCGACATCAGGCCACCAGTGAAACATCAGCTCGCGTGCTTCCCAATCGATCCTATCCAGAAGAGAGTGCACCGTAAAGCGTAACTGTGCTAGGGTGATCTGGGATCCGTTGATCTCGAGCAGCTGGCCATCAGGCGACCAGGAGATGTTTGTCCTCCCACCTTCCCGCTTAGCTATAGCTCTGCCATGTTGGAGGCGCTCGATGAAATATCCAAGCGGCGCAAAGGTACCGCGTTGGAGATACTTTGGCCAGATCTCTCTGAGGAGTCTTAACCCCTAATCTGGATATGTCGAGCGTGCCTAGAGGGGAGGGTTCCACGAATTGTAGGCTCACAACGGGAGCGCATACTCCAGGATGACTAGCCTCCCCACCCATATCAAGGCTAAGAGATACAGTGTATAGTCGTACGCGGTACAGAGAGTGAGCTTATGCAGGTGGATTCCAAGCACACCAGAGAAGTGAATAACTGCTTTAGCGCCTAGATCGCCGTCTATTGAAGTGTCTGTCCAGAAGAGGACGAGCAGCCGGAGGATGAATTCAATAATGCAAGAAGATAGAGGAGGCAGCGGCAACAAAGGATTCGACAGGGCTCTCCCCGCCTCGTTCAACAAAGAATTGTCCAGCTCCGCGCAGATAGTATCTACCATCTCTGCCTGGGATGCAGTAAGTGTCAGACCGTAAATGCCGTACGCGTTGTGGCCCTGTGCTAGGCAAACCCGCCTTGCTCAGAAGACATAGCAAAGGAAGCAGTAGCAGTACAAGCAGTATTTTTTCCCAGTAGCTTGTCGCTTTGGTAGCTCAAAGGGGATAGGGCAGTAATGCAGACCCCAGCTACGTAGCCAACAGCAAAGAACCCGCAATGTAGACGACAGGGTATCTTCACATCTATCCAACACGCAACTAACAAGCTCAACAAGCGTCAAGAGCTTTGTCTCTGTAGCTGAGCAGCTGCCCCAGTTAGAGCCGTTCTACAATCCTAGGTAGAGAGCTTCGTGCTTTTGCGACAGAAGCTGCGACGTAGCAGCAATCACATATAGCGGTCTGCGTGCGAAACAACGTGGCCACCCGCACTCACGAAGCCAGCGCGTATTCTCGTCGTGCTCTAATTTGTCTGGGAGACATACGTTCGCATGGGCTTCATTAGCAAGCCGATGCTCCTCTACGTCCTCCATACGGAGAAGCTCCGCCATATCTGGGTCGCAGCAACCTTCTTCTTCTTCCAGCTGGATTGATTGTTCTTCATCCACTTGCTCTTCCTCGCATTCTGCTTCTACAGACTCAACATTGTTCGTCTGGGTGTGGTCTACGCGCCAGTATTGCCCTGTCTTCCTGTGCGCCATCCATCGTTGAAGGAAGCAAGAAACATCTTCTCTATGAATCTTTATCTTCCTGACATTGTGGATCTTGTTTAGGTGCTTCCGAAATTCACCCCAATTGACCGTGAGCCAGATACAATGTGGGCAGCTATACCCCCGGACAGGAGCCGCTAGGAACGGCAACACCCGGCTGTCGTTTAGAAGTGGGACGATGTCTGAGTCTTCCTGCGCTACGGAAAGATGTTCGTATCGGCGAAGTATAGGTGTGGATAGCCTACTGCTGATGCCGTGATGTCGTTGGAGATGATTGAAGAGCACCATTCGGGGAATGGCGCTTCTGCAGAGAGTGCAAAACAGTAGCCATATGATGGCAGGTAGGAGATGGTGTCCAGCGTTTCTCTCGCTTCTACCTAGAAGCAAGCAATTAATGAATCTGACGATACTAGCCTAATCGCCTGCATACCTGCCTTAGCGAGAAGAGAAGGGGGGTTTGGAAGGCCAGACTGCAACGTGCAGCAGCTAGGATCGACAGGATTCCCCGTGTAAGTTTTCCACGTACGAGACATGGACTAGAATCAGTGCTACGCCCCGTGGTTGCAGCAGTTGCAAGAGATGGGAGGTTCAACACGGCAGCGGAGGTTACGGAGTCAAGATAGCTTAAAGGGGTAAGTGCAGGGGTAGTTACGGAGTCAATCCGGGACTACCGTAGTACGAAAGAGGGCAAAAAAGGTCAGTGCTGACACTCCAACCTGTCGGTTCCCTGCCATGTAGGCAACATTGTAAAACCCCTAGCTGTAGTGAATCCAGTTCGATTCCCACGAAGAGCATAATATTGCTTGTCATAGTCTAGCCGCATGATCGACCGGCCGGCCGCACCTTTGCTCATCAGTCATGTGAGATCCATACATCAATGGCGATCTCTACTAAGTATCATGTATCATCCCTTATCACTGCATCATCATATACCTGCTCCCACAATTCCAAACACACCCGCACCCGCAGCCGCCCCAATGAGGTCCCAATTCATACCAAGCACATTTGAGGCACCTGTGGCTTGTGCAGACGCGGCAGCACCGCCTGTTGCTGATGTACTGCTCCCTGTACTTGTACTTACTGCACCTGTCCTTATTGCGGTTTTACTTGCGCTGGTTGACGTCGGCCTATCTCCCAACTTGAGGGGTAAATCCACACACAGCTTATAAGACGAGCAATACTCCATGTCTGAACAGCATTGGTCACCACAAGTAGTCTCGAGGTCCGCCTCCTTACACGCTTGGTTTGGCGTCGCCAAGGCTGAGTTTACAGCGATTTCAACTGGACTTTTTGTTTCGTCGTTGCTAGTATTGATGGTAACGCCTTCACAAGCAGTGAGGCAATTGATCCAGTCAGATCCCTCCTGCCAGCCGCTGGTGAGCGGAAAGTACTTCGCTGCGCACCTCTGCGCACATGGATAGCTATTGCATGGGATATCTGCGTTTTCGAAGCCAACAAGTCCCTGATATTTGAGTTCTGGCGTTGTTTCAGCGGGGATCCAGGAACCTTTCCCGCCGGCAAGGTAAATAAATGGAGTGTTCTTTCCACTGATGATGTTCATCCACGACTCGTTGGTCGGATTCGAATATCCATCAGCGCCAATTTCATAGTACATCCCTGACGGACCCATTCCAGGTGGAATGGTTACTGTAACGTTGCCGTCCTTGGCTGGAAGTATTCCTGTAAGACTACCTGAACGACTGGTCAGAAAATCCTGATTTGGTATCCATAGAACGAGATTTCAATGCACCTACACATGTTCCACATATAGATAGAATTCCAGATAGTAATCCTAAAGTGCGTTGCTTTTTTCCCAGGGTATCCACTTCCAGCTTCGGTCGCATTTGTGATGGTGAGGGTGATGTCCTGGCCTGCTTGCACCGCTTCTCCTCCTCTGTACCCCAGACCAACCATCTTCACATCGGCAGCGCGGGTCAGGAGGGGCGCTAGTAGGTAAAAAATAGAACTGCGCATTGTTGATTTGGTAGTGCGATTACGGGAAAGTGTAATTGTATGAAACTACTGGTATGAAGAGATGCGCACACGCAAACGAGCAACTGGAAAATCGGACTGCGCACCCTAGAAAACAAAGAATAAAAGAAAATCAAGGTTGAAAGGGAGGAACAAAGAGATGGAGCGCAGTACAAATAAGCTTACAGGTAAGGCGACCCATGGAAAATTATTTCAATGATTGTTTTGAAAAGGGGGCTTGGCTCCTTGTTTCGGTTGGATGGCGCGAGGCGTTAGCGTACGCACGGTGCAGTGCAGCGCAAACGAGCGAATCAGCGCTTGAGAAACGGAACCTAGGGCGCAGTCGGTTTGGCCATATAAGCTAGCGGTCACCGAAGCTGGCCACCCACTGAAGCTGGCCACCCGCCTAGAACTCGGCCACCTATCAAAAATCAACGTAATTAATTCAACCTAGTTACAATTGCCACTCTGTACACATAGACTGAAGAGTTTAAGCTGCTAATTCAGCTGCTGCTCTCTCTGCTGCTTTTTCTGCAGCGTTACTATTGTTTTGTAACTCTAAAAGAGCAGACGCCTGCACTGCTACCCTAATTGTTTCTATATCTGCAAAGCGTTGATTTAAATTTACATGAACTTTCTTTCGTAGCTGCTAAGGCTTAAGAGCCTTAAGTTAACTATATAGTCTTTTGTTCTCTGCTTCTAGCTGTGCTGCGCGAGTATTTGCTACTGCAATAGCTTTGCCTGCTTTTTAAATAAGCTAGTGAGTCTTGCGGCTAACGCTCTCGTTCCTGTACAGCTCTTGCTGAGCTATAAAAAGATTACAAGGTCCACAGGGGGTAGATAGATAGCTCTTCGCAGGTTGAGCTTAATTCTGACGTAGTAGCGTAACAGGCCTTTAATGTTATGGGCGGAAAGAGACCTGCTAACGAGTATGCATTTGCTCCTATGTACAGAAGAAGAAGGATAAGGAAAAGAAGAGTAGCGTCCTCCTCGTACGGTATTTATCCTCCGTACGCTAATACAAAGATAGATAAGCGGGAAGTTCTTCGGCGTAGCCTCTTGTGGTACTTAGGCGTAGCCCCTTACATTTAAGCTACCTATAAGGAGTTAACTACCCGCTTAATGTTCAATAGACAGATGCCTGCAGTAGCCCATCTAGCTCGTACTACTCTCTTAGTAATCGCAGCCTCTCTAGCGTTATAGTAGGCTGTAATAAAGCGTTCTTTTTTAATAGGCGCTGCGTTATCTAGATGCAATAGTTCCTAGATCTGGTTTTGGTAGAATCTCTTCACTACTAAGAAAACTAAAGAGATCTAGTGGCTGCAATACATAAGATAAGTAAGCAGGTAGAAACAGAAGCTGAACTTTATTCTGCTTACAGGTCCACAGGAATTCCAGATCAATGTAGCTGCCGTGGCCGTCCAGAATTAGCATCCTCTAACGATCGTCTAATAGAGCCGTCTCAGGCAGAAATATCCGTTGCAGCCATTCGAGGCCTATCGCATTTGATGTCCAGCCGTTCTCAGAGGTTGTGTAAAGCCAGTCAGGTATTATCGCAGGAAACCAAGTACTCTGTATGTGAGGAGTAGTTGGGCAGGCACTGAGATATCGGTATAGGCTTGTATTGAGACGAATCCTTGAGGAGCTATCAAGCCTCTCAGAGGGATGATATATACCTACGTCACGTGATTGTGGCTGGTGTGAGCCGACGGTGCCCCGAAGGGTTCCCGGTGGCTCACCAGTCTGTGGCTGGAATCCTGTGGTGATGGAACATCGTGACACTGTAGGTTCTTGCCCTTGAATATCACCCCGCAGCGCAGTTTCTTGCCTGTAGCTAACACGCATTCTGTAAGGCAGACTTCACGCGCAGAAGAGCGAACTGGTTGAGTAGAAGCTTGTATTCGGAGTAGAGAAAATAGCAGACGCAGAGCCTAGAAGAGGCAGAGCGTACGCGTACTTATATAGCCTAGAGAGAGAAGCGAAGCGAAGGCGTACTAGACCGTAGAAGGTCTAGTAGTTTAGGCCTTCGAAGGTCTAGTAGTTTAGGCCTTCGAAGGTCTAGTAGTTTGCGCCTTCGTAGTAAGACGTAGCCTTTTACTCCTTAGCTCTAAACCTCGTAGTAAGTAGTAGCTAAAGAGAGGCTATGTCCTTACACTGCACGATCTCGTTAATTATTGGCGTTATCGCAGCTTCTTTCTATCTGTTATTCCTAAGCATCTAAGCGATACTCTATTGTATTTTATTGCCTAGTACTCCAGCAAGGTGCTTAGCTAACGCGTAGGCAGACAGCTCCTCCGCGTTAAGGTTAGGTAAGTTGTCCTTTATGTTCTAATTTATTATTAGAGGGCTCGTTTCTGTATGTGCCTGCTTCTCGTGCAGGGCTTCCCGATTAGTATTCTCTCTTTTAATTGCTCTAGTCTAGTAGCTAAGCTTCTCGTAAGCTTCCGCGTCGTGGCCTACTCCTCTACAGTAAGGACTAGTAGGGCTTCTATAGCCTATTACTGTACAGGGCTTCTATAGCTTACTCTTAATAGCAAGGCTTATCTAAACGGCTTTTAATTGCTGTTGTAGTCGCGACTTTTAGTAGTTCCTTTAACCTCACGCTCGCGATCTCGTACTAGTCAGTACTTTAACTTAGTATCGCGGCCTATGCCCTGTTTAATAGAGGACTAATAGGACTTCTAACAACAGCTCGCTTCTTAGCTGCAATTTAGCTGTTACGCAGGGTCGTTGCCTGTTCCTTAAACCTTAGAGGACTAACAGGGCTTTAACTGCAATCGCTTACCTTCTTGCAAAGGTCTTTTGCAGACAGCAGGACCTACACCTCTGTACTGTTAAGGTATCGCGTAGGGCTTTTACTAAACGGTACTCCGCGCGTAACTAGGATCTACTAGCTGCACTATACACGTTCACCGCTAGACGTTACGCGAGGCTAGTAGCGCGTTGACTGAGCGTCCTACGAAGCTGTAGTCCTAGGCTAGTAATCTTGTAATAGCTTATGCCTAGTTGTTGTTTAAAGGCCTTTCGTGTCTTTGTACAACACTAATCCCGTGCGGCAGATTAACCTACTTGCACGTAACAGAAGAGGCAGTTAAGAAGCTTAACGCGCGTCGCGTTAACAGAGTCTTAAAGCAAGGCTCTGTTAATTAGGATCGAATACAAAATGTAAGGGGCTACGCTTAGGGAGCTATCGCACAGGTATACTAGAGTTGTATTCAATAGAGAAGAGAACTACAGGAAGCTAGGGTTCTGAAGGTCGTTTAGGGGGCGGCGGCTCGAGATAACCTTCTGCCGGGCTCGCTTGCACAGAATCCAGGTGCTTAGGGGGGGCACCCGGAATCTGTAGACAGTGCGCCTCGCGCACGTGACTAAGATATCATCGAGGACTCACCAACTGGGCTCCAGCCCATTACACATACGCAAGCTAGCAGCGTTACCTATTCTCTGTTACTATCTCTTATTACCGCGGTACGCTCCCCTAACTTATAAACTGCCTTAGAGAAGATCCTCTTCTTGCAGTAGGCGATGCTAACAAAGAAGCCCTTCTTATCTATATTGTACGTGTTGTAGTGGAGTGTTTTGGTAGTTCTCCATCGGAACGTGTGCTCGATGCAAGTGAGTAGAGTATATTGTGTGTGTTGTATGTGTGGTGTTCGTTGTCTGAACGGGGTTCAGACATTCCTGTCCCTTTTCTACTCTCCGTGTTATCTCCGAGCCCGATAGCCCTTCAAATCTGCAGTTCCCCTAGATTCTCTACCACAGTGTTGCGCTCTTTAATCTTATGTTCTTGCATCTTAGAGTGCAGCAAGTTAAAGTACAACTTGTATTTACGCTTGTTGTTAGCTAAGTAACGCTCACGATCTATACTAGTGTCCTATTTAGAGATAAGCTTATCGGGATAACTGTCAGGCACCAGGCTACTCCGGGCCCGTTCGGGCCGTTATGCCAAGCAATCGCAGTATATTAGCCTACCTTACCGCTGTTGTGGCTCGACAGCGGTTCGTCTCTAGTCTTACAAGGCAATATACCTCTACTTCCACTATCGCGGTGCATCTCGTATCTATAAAGACTCTATTGCTTGACATTCGAACCGCTCTCCCTACGATACCCATGTGCACCTGATTTTGTAACAATGAGCTCTAGAGCCGGTCTACCTAGCGCCTCAACTCGCAACTTAAGAAGGGCCAGCAAGCAACGGGTCGACCTAGTAGGGGACGTTACAGACCGCGACTCCCCGAGCCCTCGCATCCCAACACCAGATGTTGACGAGCAAGTTCGTCAGGAAGGGCCCACCTCAACCGCTAATAACCTAGGACGCCCTGTTCTAGGCCAGAACACACGGGCACCACCTGAACTGGCTTCTTAGGAAGAGTCCAACACCACTGTCGGGGGGGACGCCCCTAGACAGGTTGAGCTGGAACGAGAGCTGGAGGAACTTAGGCGTTGGCGCCAGCGGGAGGAAAACCTCCGCGAGCTGACCAAGCTAAGGGAACTTAAACGCAAAGTGCAATAGGGAGACTTATCAGCCTTCGATGAGGTCTCTCTCCCCGCACTATCACCCCGAAGGGTAGAGAGCGTCACTGATCTAGGCGCCCCTCGCCCTAAGGACCCGGAGACGTTTGCAAACCGCGATCGCCAGCAGTATAACTGCTGGGCGCGCGACTGTGAGGCAATCTTTAGGGGATCGCCCTCACGCTTCGCAACGGACACCTAAAGAGTAGACTTTGGGATTAGGTTTCTAGACGAAACCGTTAGATCCACCTGGGATACATATCGCGAAGACCACCTACGAGAGGACCCCTTTTAGGAGCCCACCTGGGCTCAGCTTAAGGCGGTGATGCTCGACTGCCTCGGGCCCTTGGAGATGCGACGTCTCCAGGCCCATAACGACCTAAAACGGCTCAGACAGAGGCATGATCAGGACCCGAACGTCCTTCTGGCTCGACTCAACACACTGTGGAGCGAGATAGAACACGTCTCTAAAGAACAGCGCCGCATGGATT